CGCCGCGTCGCTCGCGGTCATCGGCCTCGTGGTCGCCGCCATGGTGCGGCGCCACCCGGCGCCGCCCCCGGAGCCCGCCGTCGCGCACCCGACGAAGGACATGCCCGCCGAGATGGCCTAGGGGCGCGGGGGCGCCCACTCCCCGCCCGGGGCGACCGCGGCCGCGGCAGCGGCGCTAGCTCCTCGGACTTTAGCTATATAGGGCGCGTAACATATCCCGCCGGCGGGATATGTTAAAGTGTAGGAGAGGAGGAGGTAGGCTTGCATCTCCGTGAGCGTCATCAACTAACGGAGCATCTTCTCGAACCAGGCGCGATTCTCGCGCACGAGGAAGGACGTGTAGGAGAGGAGGAGGTAGGCTTGCGTCTCCGTGAGCGTCATCTGTGTGAATGTGTCGTAGCACGGGAAGGAGTCGAAGTCGCCCGTGCCCGCCTCGCCGAGTTCGATGGCCTGCTTCATGGCGGCGTCCGTGACGGCGTCCTTGAAGGACGACGCGACGGTCGTCGTGAGCAGGACGACGCCGAGGTGGACCGCTTGGCCCGCGGGGATGCCGTGGTGGGTGTTCTCGACGGTCGTGAGCTCGACGTCGGCGATGGCACCGATGCCGTCGGCCTGGCTCTTCTGGAGCGCCGCAGCGAGCTTTGGGAAGTCCTTGGGATCGAAGACTTGAACGGAGGAGAGGTCTGAGCCCTGGTCGATGCCCGCGACGGACGGCTCCGGTGCCAGGAAGATGCCGAAGAGCGCGGGGATGTTGAGGTCGATGTCGTCGAGGCCCGGCGTCGTGTTCGGGTCCCAGGCCCCGGCGGTCGAGAGCTTGACCTTGGAATTGACGAAGAGCACGACTTTTTCGAGCTTGCGCTGGAGGAGGGGGATCACGCCAAAGTTTTCGAGGCACCCGCCGTCGGCGGTGAGGAAGAGGCGCGCGGACTCGGACGGAGCGTCGACGGCCCACGAGAAGACCGTCGAGAGTACGGTCTCGAAGGGCTGGGCCTTTTGTGCGACGTAGGCCGCGGGCGCCATGGAGCTGATGGTCGCCGCGAGCTGGACGGTCGCGCCCTCCTTGGGAGCGAGGACGAGGAAGTCGCCGGACGTCTCGTCGCCAGAGAGGGACGCGTTGCCAACGGGCACGTCTCCTCCGAAGGCGTAGGACGAGACCAAGCCCCCGACGCGGATCGTCTCGGACTTGGAGATGCAGTGGTCGTCGTCGTCGCAGCCGTCCTGGGACGAGTAGGTGATCGTGCTGCTGTAGGGGTTCCCGGAGTAGAGCGGCGTGTACTGGATGATCGTGAAGGAGCGGTTGTTCTTGGAATAGGGATTCATGTCCTCCGGGCCCATGAGCGTCCCTGACACGATGGGGTAGGGCCGCTCGTGCTGGGGCCAGACGAAGTCCCAGTCCTCGAGGTTCGGCGAGCGCGCCTTGTATGCGGCGGCGGCGTCCGCGTCCCAGGCGGCGCGCGCGTCGTCCTTGATGCCCCTCGGGGCGAAGATCGCCTCGGAGATGACCTCCTTCCAGACGTCCTCGAGGAGCTCGTCCTTCTCGAAGAGCTTGCTGAGGCCCTTGGCGTAGACGTTCTTGAGGAAGTCGTAGGTCGTCGCGTCGGCCATGCATCCCTCTGGCAAGTGCGCGATGGCCGCGAGCGTCAGATTCCCGGGCGCGACGTACGGGCAGAGGAGCGCGTCGTCGTCGCCGCCCTGGTCGTACGTGAGCGCCGAGACGAACCACGCGCCGCCGCTGACGCCGGACGCGTACCTCACCCCGTCGAAGAGGCCGAGTGCCCGCATCGCCTGGGTCTGACCGACCGCGGCCGCGTACGCGCGAGTGCCGCCGCCGCTGAAGCCGACGCCGACGCTCGGCCTCGTCCTGATCACGTCGAGGCTCGCCTCGGGCCACGCGTAGTCTGTGCCGATGTTCCTCCACGCCGTCGCGTTCAGCAAAAACGTCTTCGAGCACGCGTCGAAATCGATCGCGGCGATCGAGTTCCGGTCGCACATCGACGTCATCGACTCCGATGCGCAGCACTCCTTGGTGCACGTGTTCCTGGGCGAATGCGTCTCGTGGCACGTGTTCGTGCTCGAGCAATACTCGCACGTGTTCAGCTTCGCGACGCTGTGGTCGAGGCACGCCTCTGGGTCCGCGATCTCATCGCACTTGAGCGCGCCGGGGCTGTTCTTGCAGGCCTCGGAGTCGATCTTCGACGCGTCGTCGAAGTCGCACGTCGAAGTCTTGGATTTCGACGCACAACACGTATCACT